CCCAGCACCTCTGGTGGAGGTGACTTCATGCCTGCGGCCCCAGCGGTGCAACAGGCAGAGCGGGCTTGGGTCGCTTCCCCAGAGTTTGCTTGCAGGGGGCAGGAGCAAGGACTCCCAGGGGCAGAGCAGGAGCTGAAGGGCCTCAAAATGAGGGCAGCTCCCCTCCCCAGGTCAGGAGGAATCTGGAAGCCTAGAGCCCCACCCTCCTGGAGTGGCACGGTCTCAGGATCACCCAAGGCACAACCACTGGAGACGACAGGACAGACCTGCCAACAGAGGTGGGGTGCTCTGGGGGTGTGAGACATGCAGCCCAAATGTGGAGCCACAGCTCTGGGTAGTAGGATGACAGGGTTCTCAGCTCCACCTTTGGGAAAGGGGCAGGACGCATGATGGTTCCTGTTTCTGCTTCCTCCTGTTTCATTTCTGTTGGCCCTGGAGCAAAGCACACAAGGCCCTCTCTGAGGTGGTGTGACAGGCCCTGCTCTGCACAAGGGGCTAGGCTGTGAACAGTAGAGTGTGGACTGGGGAGCATGTATCCCAGAGCCACAGGCTGCGAGCAGTGGTCCCAGTTCACCTTTCTCTCCCGTTTCACCTGGGAGGACACTGAGAGCTGGAGTGGGGATGTGGCCTGCGGCCACTCCCACAGGCCCCCTGGATTTGACCCAGGGCTTTGGCACCTATTACGGGCTGCCTCCATGAAACTTTCTGATGCTCTAGGTCTGGAGGCCGACCTCTGCCCCAGGTGGAGGCAGAGCAATAATCAGTCCTACTCCACCAACAGAATGGAGGCCCAAAGAGCTGCAGTGATTTCCCCAAAGCGGTACAGTGTTCAGTGAAAAACAGATTATGAACCCTCTCTGCTCTCTTCCCCACTCTGTCTCTGCCTAGGCCCAGCCCTTGATGAGGTGTGCACCACTCAAGGGCGACTTCCCCAAGAAGTGACCACCCTTTTCATATAACAGACACCTATCTATTGATCAACCACCCACACTGCCCCCACGCCTCTTCCCTGGGCCACTCTCATGGAACAGCCCACCCTGAGCTGGCACAGGGGATGCAGAGCCACTGCCCAGAGCCCTGGAGGGGAGCCCGGGAGGTGAGGGAGAGGAAGTCACACACAGAGGAAGCGAGGCCATGTCAGAGGAGCAGTGGTGGCTCAGTGAAGGAAGCAAGTATAAATAAGGATAGCAGACTCAACAGGGAGACTGACTTGTCCGAGGCCACATAGCAGGGGCAGAGCAGGCCCCGTGTTTGCACCAGAGGGTGCCGACACAGCTATTACCCTCTCACCTTGCAGAGACATCCCTGCAGCTGTCTCTTCATGATGTGAGGTCCAAAGTGCTCAGGTTTCTCTGAAAGGCCACAGAGTCCCTGTCTCAGGAAGAGCTACAGGCAGCCTCCCAGGCTACTCTAGCCCCAGAAACAGAGGCCGGAACCCACAGGCCTTAAAAATAGGCCCAGGAACCGAAAGAGGTACTGCTACCACTCCAACGGTCACACTTATTCCCAGCAGCACTGGCCAGATCCGGCCTGCCTGCTGTAGGTGGGGCTGGAGGGCCTGGGGCCCCAAAGGAACTCAGGAAAACTGTGCCCCATGACTGCAAAGCAGTCAGAACTCCAGACAGTGATACAACCCCTATTCCATGTGCAGGCGCCAGGCCAGGCACTTTGTATCATTCATAATAAATACAGCAACAGTAGGGGATGGGTCTGACTCTGGGCCAGGGCTGGTGCTGCACCCAGTCCTGTGCATCTCATTTACCCCTCAGGACGTCAGGGAGGTTGTGCCTGTTGCTTCTCATACAATTCCCATAGCCTCACAGATCTGTCATCTCCGCTTTACAAATGAGGACACCAAGGCCCAAAGGGTGGCACTCTCAGGTTCCACAATCTTCCCTTCCAGCCACACCTCCTACTAAAATCTCCCACCCCAGTAGGAAGTGTCAGGCTATATCCACCTCTGGGCCAGATGTCTGCATCACCCGATATCTGGCACTGGACCACCTGGTTCTTCCCAGCTCAGAGATTCTGTAACCCCACAGAACCTACCGCAGCCAGCCAGCCTGGTTCATATGTTACCTGGAATCACAAGCAGATTTCTACAGATAAAACACCAAATCCTGCTCAGGGCGACCACAGCCCTGGCTGCATCCAGCAGGGTTTTACTTCAGCCACATTACCTGTGCATGTGGCTTCTCTCCCCAGCTCAACCGTGCCGATCAGGGCCGATCCCCCTGCCTGACTCAGAGCAAATGCTCAGAAAATATTTCTACCGTAGAGGCCACAGTAGACAGATTCTGAAACAACAACTTGTCCAGGGCCAAGTGTCTCCACCAGGGGCTCCCTCAACACCTTCAACACAACCTCAGAGGACACACAACAGTTCTGAATAACCCAAGCTTTAACCGAACAACAAAAATCTGGGAAGGGTAAATTAATTCTTAAGTGTTAACAGGTTGTCACAGCTGTAAAGTAGGGATGTTGAAGTTCTTTGGGCTGGCATCCTGGGTTCATGTCTGGATGCTGGGCCAACCGCGGGGTTCTTACTCTACTTTGGATGTTAAGTCACCACTGAGCTTGCCTTTCTCTGAATATCATAAGTATTATCTGAAAAACGAAGATATGGGCAACAAGAGCCCTTCGAGGAAGCTAAGATTCCACTTTGCTGAGCCATCCACGCCCTTCATTTCCTAGGTCACAAACTAACTTCTCTAATTCATTTGCTTAGTGTGGGGACACCTGCACTGTATGTGCCCCATGCTGGGCACTGAGGAGACTCCGACTGAGCCATGTCCTTGAGGGCCTCACCTGCTAACTGGGAGACAGACTCACAGACCACACTACAAAGCCACAAATCACCCTGCTCCTCCAGCACACACATACCCAGTACAAAGAGGGCACAGGCAGTGGGACAGGGAACAGAGGAGGGTTCCCAGGGTGGCAACATGGAAGCTGATGCTTGAAGGGAGACTTGCAGGACAGGTGAGAAGGGGGTAGTTTTCCAGGCAGAGAAAACAGGTGGCATCAAAGCGCAGACCATCAGAGCACTTGAGGGCCTGAGTTTAGGGAGGCTCAGGGGCAGGGGAGACAGGGAGACCTTGTGTGTAAGGGAGGATGGGAGGCAGGAAAGGAGATGCAGTAAAAATGAGACCACCAGACTCTGCTCTCTCTGCCTAGTACAGGGCAGCCCCCCTCCCCAGATGCAGCACAGCAGGCACAGCAAGGCCTGGCTGGGGACATTTGGCAGGGGAGGGGGAGGGGGGCGCAGGGGAAGGAGTCAGACTGACCAAGGGTCAGTCCCAGCTGTGCCACTTCTTTGCTGGTTGTGTGGGCAAGCGTCTTGCCTCTGTGAACCTCGGGCTCCTCACAGGTGAAATGGAATGACAGTCCTCTCTGACAAAGTCAGTATCAAGTTGACAGCACGCATAAAGCACCTGACACATAGTAGGTGCTCTGTAAATGCCAGGTGCTGGAATAACTCACTGCTGTTCTTAGGGATGGGCCTGCAGCTCCTTGGGGCAGACTGGGAGAGAAGACGCTCAGAGGCAGAGGACAGTAGCAACATGCTGACAGGGGCGCAGGGAGGGCTCCCTGGATCTGCTGCGCAAACAGAACTGAGGGGCCTAGAGGAGATGGTCCCTCAGACCCCTCACATTTCAGACATCCTGTGCCAGGTGGCAGGTGGCTTGTCAGGCTGGCTGGCAGGCAGCCTGGCACACAGTAGGTGCTCAGTCAATGTTTGCTGAATTAGTGAGTATCCACAATTTCTGTTCAAAACTAAGTTGTGGAACCTTTTCAGAAAAGTCCTCGTCCATCCCCACGCACTCTGTGGGCACTCCCACCCCTGCCCAAGAGGAAACTTCATTCCCAGCAGAGCAAGGCTGGAACCTCGTCACTGAGGGGAAGTGTCTTATGATAAGCTTGCCTGGATTCCAACTGATTGCCTCTCCTCCCCCGGCTCCAGGGCGTGGCCTGCGGAGGGGCCTAAATCCCTGGGGCGGCCACATCCCTGCTGCTGTGGGGATAGGGTGGATATGGCTCTCTGGACTCGGTTTCCCCAGGGATGAAGGAGGCTGGTAGACTCTTCAAGCCTGACACTCCCTTCTCCACAATGCTGTCGCCCCCTCCGAAATGCCCAGCCCAGAGTGGGCATGAGGGTAGGGTGGGGTGGGGGGTGGCTGACAACTATGTGAAGTCATTCCTACATGAAGAAGGGAGGGGTCTTCTCTGGAGAATATGACAAACCAGACGTGGCAGGGGGGGGGGGCCCGCCTCAGTCCAGGCGCCACCCGTCAGTGCATTACCTCACACCCAGCCAGGCCGGGGGACCCCACCCACACCTGCAGCCCTAGGCTCTTTCCAACGATCAAAGGCACCCCACCCCACCAGGTCTGACTTAGGGTGGCACAGGGCAGGCTCACGCCCAGAGCAGGCTGCCCTCTCTGCCGGGCGGGAGGGTGGGTTCCGGGGGGCCGCGGCCCAACAGGTCGCCAGTTAGAGCTGATGCAGGAGAGGAACCGGGCGGGTGGAGGGGTGCGGGAAGACAAAGGCATCATTTCAGGCAGCCCGAGACACGGCCCTGGTTGGCAAGCTGGGGGCGGGGCGGGGGCGCACGGGCGGGGCAGGGGCCTGGCCCTGCCTTGATGGGCTCGGGGTCTCCCCGAACACGGCTCCCACACTCTGCGGCGGCACTGAGGCCCCAGGGAGGTTTTCCTGAACAAGAGAGGTCCGGGTGGGTCATGGAGAGAGAAGGGGGACGAATGGACGGACACCGGACGGACGGGGTGAGACACCGAGTGGCCCAGGAAACGGGGATACTGGGACACGCGCGTGCGAGGCCCCTCAGGGCCAAAGGCAGAGATGGGGGCAGAGGGACACAGGAAAAGCCCAGACGCGGAGTCCCGGGGGCCCATGTAGAACGCGACACGCAGGGGGCCCCCGAGACACACACAGGCACAGACACTGGGAGACGCGCGCAGGACCCCGGAGGCCCCACTCACCGAGGCCGCAGACCTCGCGACGCAGGCTGAGGAGGCTGCGCTCCTCCGCTATGGCGCGCAGCATCTGCTGCAGCGAGCGCTCCTCGGCCTCGGCGCCGCCCGCAGGCTCCGGGGAGGCGGCGGCGGCGGAGGGGAGGGCGGAGGGGAGGGCGGGCGGCCCGGCCCGGAGCCCCGCGGGCGCGGGCGCAGAGGCGCAGGCCCGGCCCGGCGGCCGCGCGGAGGCCATGCCGGGCCCCGGCTCATCGCCCGCGCCGCGCCCGCGGGGGCCCCTGGCGCGCCCCGCCTCCGCCCCCGCGCCGGCGCCGCCCGCAGCGAGCACCACTGAAGCCACAGTCCGCCTGTGCGCGCGTCGCCGCCGCCGCCACCCGCCGCGCCTGGTGAGGGGAGCGCACCTCCGCGCCGCCGCACGCGCGCCTCGCACGCCCCGCCCACGCCCACCGGGCTCCACCCCCTGTCCCGGCCTATCGGGCCCCGCCCCTGCCCCGGCCCATCAAGCCCTGCCCACGCCCATCGGGCACCGCCCCTGCCCTGGCCTATTAGGCCCCGCCCACGGCCCCGCCCATAGGCCTCCGACCTCCGCCCCGCCCCGGCCTACCGGACCGCCGCAGCCCGAACCTTCCTACTCACCAGGCCGCCCTGACCCGTCCGGTCTCCAGGCCCCGGCCCCAGCCACCGCCCACTACCCACCAGGCCCCCGCCCCCAACCTACCAGGCTCCCTGCTTCCGCCGCCAGGTCCACGAGGCCCGGTCTGGCCCCGCCCAGTCTCCGTGGCTGGCCTCCGCCCACCATTCTCTTCCTCCAACTGCCCTCGGGTTCCTGCCTCGGCCTCCCGCGCAGTCTTGTTACTCTCCGTGGCACCTGCGCCCCCGAACCACCTTCACCAGACCCAAACCCCATCTCGGCCCTCCCCGAGACCGCCCTGGGCACCCACCGGTGTCTCTGGGCCTCTCCCACGGCACCTTCGGCCCATTATCTCCTTCCGCGCAGCTGCCCCGCGCGAGATTGACTGTCAGCCGGCCGCCTGGGTTGCCGCCCTCCTCTTCTCCATCAAGTTGCCAAGGCCGGTTTCCCCTGAAACTTACCCCGCAAAACCCAGAAAGAGGTCACCGCCCCACCCCCCGTAAAGAGGTCTCATAGTGGGCATGATAGCAAAGACCTTCCCGCCCCCCACTGACTCCATCGCCTGGCACAGTGCAGGGTGTTGAGAAAGGCTCTTGACCTCAGTTTCCCTAGCAGTGCAATGGGGTCCTCCCAGCTGTTGACTAGGTGTGTATGAGCTCAGCTGGGCAGGGGAAGCAGCTCAGAGGCTCTCTCACCTCCGCCCTCCCTGGTGGCCCACCTCCACGACAGGGTGAGATGGAGAGGGAAAGACAGTGCTGGGAGTCCCACCCAGCTAAACCAGTCCCAACCCATGCCCCCACTTCTCAGACCCACGGAGGAGGGTCCTGCCTTCAGGCCCCACCCCCTCCCTCTGTCTGAAGGGCTCTTCTCCACCCCACCCCACCCACCTCGTGAAACCAGCTTCCTCATTTCCTTTGGGTCCCAGTCTCACCTCCTCACAAAGAACCTTCCCTGAGTGCCTTACCTGAACACCACAGTCTCTCCCTCTCCCGTCTCTCACCCTGCTTTTTTAGTTTTTTTCATAGCATAGCACTGACCTCCTCTGACTGTAGAGCTGTGTGTTCTGTATATTGTCTGACTCCCCCGCTGAGGAAGGGGCTGTTTTCTGCATGGCTGTATTCTGGGTTCCTAGAATATTGACTGGCAGGTAGCAGATGCCCAGTAAATAATGTGGTATGAATGAATGAAGAATGAATGAGAGGCATATGATAGCAAAGCAGAGAAGTCCTGGAAGAGGCAGTAGGGAGGCCTGTCAGGTGGGGCATGGGAACAGCCCTGGAGGGGGAAACAGGTGGTCTGGATCCTGCTACAGGCTTCACCCATAGTTTTGTGCCACTAGGCCCTTAGGGTAGGGCCTGTGTCTGACCCCTTGGCATCCCCAGCACGGGCAGAGCTGTATCCAAGTGTGCAGTGAGGGAGTTAATGAAGAAATGATGGGCCAGAGGTTTCGCTCTCCTCTCGCCTGGATCTGTGTCCCCATTGGTAAAATGAGGACACTGGCTTGAGAGTCGTGGCCTCCAGTTCCAAGTCTGGACCACTGGGATTCTGGCCGGTGGAATTGCTGAGCAAGGACTCAGAGCTTGGCAAGGCCAATAGTCACTTCCCACTACATTTCCTCAAATTCCATCAGTTCCCCTGCCTGCTCCCTTTGTTCATGAAATTCTTGCCTGGAATCCTTTCTTCTCCACTATTGTGCTTACTTGGAGGCCCACTTTCCCCAGGAAGCCTCCCTGTTAGACTTGGCCAATGCATTTGTGTTCTTACCTGCTTTGCCAACTTGCTTCCTGCCCTGCCAAGGTTACCTCCATAGATTCTGTGTCATAGGACCAGCATCAAATCAACTCCATCCCATTTTCCCCGGCATTGGGCCCTGGACAGGTGCCAGAAAATACATCACTTGGACTCTCTCCTCTTTTATCTTAATACTCCAGGTACTGTCCACATGGGGAGTTTTTTAATGTCAACAAATGTCAAGTTATCCTTTGGACTTGAAGTGGGCATGAGCAGGGCTTCTGGGGGCCACAGGGCATATTCTGTTTCTTGATCTGGGTGCTGATTACATGGGTGTGGTCAGTTTATAAAAACCAAGCTATAACTTTGTGAGTTAGGCACTTTATGTAAATATTCACAACATTACATAGAATTAAAAATAAAAAGATCTAAAACCCTTGAAAAAATTCTGCTTTAGCCGTATTTCCCATGACAATGAACGTTCTTTTCTGCAAAGAAGTGACATGTACTTTTAGAGACCACTGAGAAAAAAAAGATTATGTAGGCAGAATGATAGCCATCAAAGATGTCCAACCTGACCCTGGGAGTCTGTGAATATATGTTACCTTACATGGCAAAATGGACTTTGCAGGTGTGATGAAGGGTATGGACTTTGAGATGGATCATACATGTGGGACCCACCTATTCACATACATTATAAAAATGGAACTTTCTTAGCCCCAGTCAGAAAGGTCTGTGAAGACAGAATAATTAGATAAATGCAATGTTACTGGCTTTTAAGATGGAGGAAGGGACCACAAGTCAAGGGATGCAGACAGCTTCTAGAAGCTGAAGAAGTCAATGGAACAGATTCTCCCCTCAGCCTTCAGGTAGGAACAGCCCTGCCTTGGCCCAGTGAGACCCCAGTCCTACTTCAAACCTGTACAACTGTTAAGATAGTAAAGTTGTGTTGTTTAAAGGCACTTCATGATGGCAGCAATAGAAAACCAATACAAGAAGCAACCATAAGCTCTCAACTCATGCACTTCCTCCTGGAGGTTTATTTTGCAAACAATAAAACAAAGTTCAGCAAAAAAAAAAAAAAAAATCAACCACAGCCCATTTGCTTTAATAGGTCAGTTGCTTCATTTTCTTGCTGTTCTAAATGCCTCCCTTGTGCAAGAGGTTGTGACAGTGGTGCTGATGGTTCACATTTTTATCTCTAGATGTTTGGAGGTGATTTTATTCAGAGCCAGTTGGTGTTAAGAAAAACTGCCCCCACAGAACTCTTCTCCCCTTGTGTAAGTGGCCGAAAGGCCAGGGACTTGCTAGAGAAGCTGCCAGTTCAGCTGCAGGCCCTGGCTGCCATCCATCACTGTTCCAAGCCTCAGTTTACTGTCATATAATGGTGTGCAGGGCTGCATGATCGCTGAGATCCTCCCGGCCTAAATATCCTGCGAACCTGTAGTTGGACTCCAATTGCTCTTCTTTCCTTTTTGGTCCCCAAAAGGAAAAGACAGTTCCGCAGGGTGGGTCATATGTAAACAGCCCACTTTGGGTCGTTAAGCATAGGTTCCCAAGGGGCACATTCAGAGGCTCTGCCATCTACCCGGATAGTCTGTACTTTTCACAGTCATGTGAGTGTGTTGTTAGCAGCTTCCCAGCCTGACTACTTCCTGCTGGTGACTCGTTTTGCCCAGAATCCCTGTTCCTCAGACCTTTTTTTTCATCTGGAAAATTAAATACAACTCCCCACCCCCCAGATCTAGATTCTAAGAGTTCCTACAACGCTGGGTTTTTCTCACCCTCTCCCAAGGCGGGAAGGGGGGTGGGGGTGGGGGTGGGGGTGGGGGGGGTGGCTACCTAAGAAGGTCCCACCACCTCCCCCGCCCAGCCTTCAGCCCCTTCCCTCCATCCACCTTCCTACACACAGTGTTTTCTCACTCTCAGATGTCAGAAATTCCACCCTTAGGATTCCACCTTTTTTTAAAAATAGATCCCTGCTGAGGAAGGCAGAGAGGAGTATGTCTTGGAGAATGTTGTTAAAGAATGCCAAGGAAAAATTCTTGATGGGTTTTGTCTGCCTTCCTGTGCCTTAGGGAGATAAGACATGGTAAGAGGGACTTTTTAGCCGTTGCTATTGTCCAAGGGATATCTCCAGGGTAATCATAAATGTACAGTATCTTCTATATGTGTCCCAGGTAATAGTATTATTGTCTATTTATAAATATGGAATAATATATGAATACTGATTAAGAGTATATAGTATTAATCTACAGCTTCATTTCTAATCTTAGTTCTGACACTACAGTGATGTGAATTTGGGTGAATTCCTTAACTCTCAGCTGCCTTAAATCTTTAACTATTAGCGCTCCCCAATTTCTATTTTAATTATTAAATAAAATAACATTTGTAAAAGTTAAAAAAAAAAAAATAGATGCCTGCTAAAATTCCCCTGGAGTGGGTAACCTCCAAATTAGTATTAGGCCGGGATGCCTTGTTGAGAAGAAAAGATTCAGAGATTTTGAAAGAGAAAGCACCTAAAGAGATGGAGAGTTGAGAGATCCACACTGACATTTGTTAAGAAACTGCTTTATGTCGGCAGCCTCACGAATGTGGACAGCGATAATCCTGAGCTCTGGAAGGCATCTAGTATTGTGTTCATGTGTTAGGTAAGACAGCAAGACCCAGAGAGGCTGAGTAACGCGCAAATGCAAGTTGGACCTGGAGCTGGGATTCGCACCCTCCTGTAGCCAGGATGAAAGAGACAGCAGCACATATACCATCTGGCATTAACTCACCCCATTTCTGGTCTCAGGAGGAAAGCCCC